CGCGCGCGTTACGCGCGCGCGCCGCGCGCATGTAACGCGCGCGCCTTATTTCGCGCGTAACGCGCGCGCGCGTAACGCGTTATAACGCGCGCGCGTAAAGCGCGCGCGCGCGTAACCCGCGCGCGTAACGCGCGCGCGCGCGTTACAGTTTTTACACTTTAAAAAGATGAAAAAGTATAGCTTAATAATATATTCATTCCATTATTTTTTCCAAGCAAAATCCAAATCCGACCTTGAGCAGTTCATCATACGCTGTGCGGTAGATGGCAGCTAATACCGATTGATGTTGAAGAAGACCATGGTGGTAGCTCGTGTCAGTTCTGGTTAAGAATTATGCCTCCTGCGGTGTGTAAGTAAATACGAGGGAGCTGAACGAGAGTAGGTCGTATGACGAGAGAAGGTGTTGCAGTGTGTGACCGAAAAGCACTGGCTGTACAAGAAAACAAACTAACTACAGCACAATTTGGTAGGTTGTCGGATGGTCATGATTCTACAAAGTCGGTGTTCAATCGATCGTTCGGCGTTTTCTGAAATGAAGCATCATCTCAAGTCGAGAAGGAGCCATTGAACGAGAGGAAGGCACTGAGATTTCTAAACACCCTCCAACACCTCACACCACCCTTGATCATATGCTGTCATAAGATTCGAGCTACTTCTTGTCGTGCAAAAAAAGTTGAGAAATTTATTAGGGGTAAATGTTTTTTCATCGACATTTGAAGACCTCTTGGTATAATCAGTACATTAGTATCTCGATTTACCATGGGACGTAGCACCATTGCATCTTGAATTGTCATTTTTATCCAAACACGATTTACGTACACCAAAGCCATAAATCACGAAGGCGATACTCCGACTTTGACATCAAACTTCAACCCACAAACACCCACGAATAGGAAAAACGCTCTCGAACACCCTTATTGCACAGCAGTATTGTACAGTTGTATTACCGAACAGAGAAACTTCATTTCAATAGTTGACAACATTTAAACGTAGGCTTAATTGATATCGCATTCACCATGTACTAGAGTCATAAGCTGCATAGAAGTAACTAACGTAGTATTTCATTTGATGTTTGCTCGGAAATTTCAATATGGTTCACCACTTGACAGACATGTTCGTGGCACTTTTCTGACTTTCTCAAGGTGGAAAGTCATAAAAGTGCGGCGCGGAGGTATGCCAAGTGGGGACCCCGCATTCATCGAAAGCAGAACGCTTGTTATTTATATTTCTCAATTAAACAACACCTACACTTCATTTACATTTAACAACATTATATGCATTGAACGCGACATCATACGCTTTTCAAAGATCGTCATACATCATATTAATTGATAATCAGGATCAGCATATTCTTTTAGCATCAAAATTCAAAAATTTGTCTTCTTCCAAGAAATTCGATTTTCATACGAAACAACATATCCGTCGAATTCCCGAAAATCGCAGAAGAACAAATACCGCTCTGCTGCAAGGAAGCTCCGCGATGCGTCCAGTGGTATTTTGAACTTTAGTTTATCACTTGATGTTACAAGACACTGGAAAACAAATTGGGAACGAGTTCAATTTTCTCCTTAAAAAAAAGTTGCTTGGTATTTTCAAACACTGTTACTCTTGTACTTGTGTAGATCGATAACTATGGTTTTCGTTTCAATTTTATTGAGCAGTTATTCACTGTTCGTCGTCAATCGTGACGTTGATACTGCGCCAGGTTCTACAAGCCGAAGAACATAAGTATCTGCACCAAGTTTCGAGGTTTTTCGAGTCCAAGCTAGCACATAATCGGGCGATATCGAACACAGAGTAGCTCGACAAAAGTATCAGACGGAAATCTTTGACCAGCGCCACGAGCCGTACTATCTTGGTTGATATTCTTGTTCCAATATTCCTTGATTCGAGGGAATAGTATGTGGATTCGTTGTGATAATATGCAGCTTTTAAACTGACCACTAAATGTGTTAGATGATTGAATCACTTTTAAAAAGAAGTTAATAAAGATGATCATTGTTTCAACAGTACGAATGTAAATGATGATGGTACTTGGGGACAACTTTGACGTCGATTGCTGAGGCACAAACTCCCGAATTACTCATCTGTGATATGCACCCTACACCAGGTTCTACAAGAAACACAAGGACAGGACTAAAGTCGTGATCTCGAAATTTTCTGATTCCGTACCCACGACAACGAACAGGGTAATACCGAGAAGTCACGAGCAGAACAAAACCACGAGCGGGATATCACGACAACGGACAGGAGCTAGCGCGAGAAGTATTATCAATTGTTTTTCTATATTTCGCCTTCCGTACGTTTTTGGTTTTCTCACTCTTTTCTTTCCCTTTCGTGATACGAGGACATGCATCGATCGTGATCAGAGGGTTTGTGACCATGGTATCGCGAGGCTATGATACTTACTTTCCGACTTACTCACTCGGGATATCCATGCTGCTACATCAGGTTCTACAAGAAGCACACGGACAGTACCATACCAGAATTGTGATCCGAAATTTTTTGATTCCGCACCCACGACAACGGACCAACAGGGCAATACCGAGAAGTGACGACCAGAACACAAGTACGAGCAGGAAATCACGATAAGGGTCAGGAGCTATCACGAGTATCTTCATGTTTTTTTGTTTCTTCCCATTTCGTGCGTTTTTGGTTTTGTGACTTTTTTCTTTCCCTTTCGTGATGCGACGACGACCATAGTCAGAAGGTTTTCGAGTTTTGACTATGTATCGCGAAGCTATGGCACTTTCCGACTTACTCCCTCGTGATATCCATGCTACTACATCAGGTTCTACATGCACAAGGGCAGTACCAATATCGAGGCTCGGAATTTTTTGATTCCGCACTCACAAGAAAGGCGACACTGAAAAGTGACTAGAAAAAGCAGAACAAAGCTGATACGAGTCGGCAATCAGGGTGATGGACAACTAGCGTGATTGGTACTAATGTGATCATGTGCTTTGACTTCTTTCGTATCAATGAAGCTGCCGTTTTGTGATTTGTCACTTTTTATTTTGCCTTTCGCACGAACGATCACAGCGACCATCGTAAGGCTGTTGACTATGGCGAGGCTATTATACTAGGACACTTTCGGACTTACTCACTCGTGGTCTCCATGCTACATCAGGTCCTACAAGCACAAGGAAACTACGAAAAGCGAGGTTCGAATTTTTTGGGTTCCGCGCTCACAGTCGCAGAAAGGCGATCCCGCCGAAGACCTACTAGCTCAGCAGGGATTATAGGAGTCGGCAATCACAGACCAGCACCCCCACCAGTCGCACTAGTACCATTCGTTTTGCTCTCATTCGCAGTGATGAAGCTCTAGTTTCTGGATTTGTAGAGCTACTTATAAATATATGAGTGTTCCTAAATGCAATCTAGTACTTGGCTCGGTATATATGTTCCAGGGCTCAGGGCTGAAGCCCCCCCGATCTAAGTTTTTGAGGGGGGGGCTCCCAGCCCCGGCCCCTTTTTTCGAGGGGCTGCCGGGCGGGAAGGCCTCGAAGTGCCCACCTTTGACCCCTTCCCGCTTCTTGCCTGGACCCTGCAGCGCCACCATGCCGGAGGCCGTTGAAGCACGGAAGGGTGGACTTGGAAGGCTTCCGAATGTGGCAAAGGTGGCAAGGCTGGGCCCCCTTGGCGTGTTGCGTGTACCCTACGGACCCGGCGAAGGTGGCAAGGCTGGACCCCCTTGGCGTGTGGCCTGTACCCTCAAGGCTGGACCCCTTTGGCGTGTTGCGTGTACCCTACAGACCCGGCGAAGGTGGCAAGGCTGGACCCCCTTGGCGTGTGGCCTGTGCCCTCGAGGCTGGACCCCTTTGGCGTGTTGCGTGTGCCCTACAGACCCGGCGAAGGCCGCAAGGCTGGACTCCCTTGGCGTGCTGCCTGTCCCCTACAGACCTGCCGAAGGCTGCAAGGCTGGCCCCACCCCCTTGGCGTGTTGTATGTACCCGCCAGACCTTGAGGCGCTCCTTTTCTTTCGGCTCTTTTTGCCGTTCGTCTTCCCCCACTGTGATACGCCAGAGGCCACCGCGCCACGGGTGGGCGCTTCTCGTCGCTCGTTCGGCTCTCGTCCCTCGTTCTGCTCTCGTCCCTCGTTCTGCTCTCGTCCCTCGTGCTGGGTAGCCGGGTCGGGTGATGCATAAACACAGGGGGCGCCACCTGGGCAAATTCGCAAGGCCTCAGGGCCAGCCAGGGGCTGGCCGCGTGGTGCTCGGAGGGGAACCCTCCGCACCTGAAGCGCCAGCAGGTCGGGGCCAGGTGACCGGCCTCCCCAGATCGGGGGGGCTCCTTGCTCTCTCTCGTCCCTCGTTCTTCTCTCCTCGCTCGTTCTGCTCTCGTCGCTCGTTCTTCTCTCCTCGCTCTTCCACCACTGTGCTGCACCACAGACCATACCACAGGGGGGGCCTCCTTCCTTGGTACATATATGAAGCGTAATCTTCGACGTGAGTGCTACTAGCGGTTTCGATTTGATTGGTGGGCGACGGTCATAGGGAATACTTAATAATACAATCACGCCCATAACGCTCTACAGCGTCGTGCTGACCGCCCTGACCGGAGAGACTGGAGCACGATAGAAGCGTCGAGGCTTCTCAAGTGGATGGGATCTCTTGGAAGTGCGTGAATGTATTCCGTCGACGGCCTCCCACCTACGGCAATCGCTTAACTTGAAGAGCACCAAAATTCGCACATTGCGGCGGCCATCTACGGCCCATAGGACTTGCAGGATAGAACTGGTATTTTTTTGTTTTTTTGTACGAAGATGAATAAGTTATTGGATTATATTGTGCTTGAGGCGCTCACTTCATCTTGCTCGCGACATAATGCATCTTCTAAGTTCGTTTTGTGCAGAATATGACGAACCTCTTTTCCAATTTAGTGCGCCATATAGTACAAGAACACAAAAGCGAAAAGGTCTCCCGGAAAGTGAAGAATAAGCGACTTTAATTCTATCAACAATGGGTGTGGGCCCGTCGAAGCTTTGGCGGGTGCTCACCCTCGCAGAAATGTTGAGCAGCGTGCGTTTTGTATCCTACGCGGTAGACCAGCGCGAGCGGCGTGCGCTGCGTGGCAGACCAAATTCTTCGGCGTTTCTTTTAAGGCTGTAGAAAAACCATCTTCGCCGCATTCCTGAAAGCTTGACTATGGGACCAAGCATTTTTCTTACTGAAGAGGTTAGAGGCGTGCGCCTTTAAGGTGAAAAGCCTGCTTTTTGGCGGCTTTGCCACACTTTCAAACGGTGGCGCCAACGCCGGACCGCCGTGGCCGCAAAACGCGGGCCGGCGTCGTGTCGTGGTTCTTAGCGGTGACTGGCTGGGCTGGACTCTCTTTTCTGCGTCATTGAGTTCGGGGATTCAGTGGCGCAGGCGTCTGGCAGCGGGGGCGGTGGCGCGCAGACGCCTGGCGACGTTGCCGCAAAATCGGGCCGGCGTCGTGTCGATGCTCTTGGCTGTGAGTCATTAGTTGGGCCGGCCTCGCCGGCCTATGTCAAAAGCTGCAACACAATGGCGCCAGCGCATGAGAGCGCGGCCGCCGCGGCAATTTTTGATGACGTCGCGTCGGCGTCAGTTCTTGGCCCTCGATCGCTGGCTGGGCTGTCCTCCCCTTTCATTCCATGTCAGGGGTGGGGATAGCGTGGCGCCTGCCTCTTTGTTCTCTGTCAAGTTCCTTCGGGCTGGTATGGGACGAGGGGTGGCTCGTGAGCTGCTTCGCGCTGGTAGTGGTGCGGTGGGATGGGTATTTTGACGGCTCCGGGCTGTCAGTGGTGAGAGGGGTTCGGGCTGATCGTGGGGAGATTGGTGAAGCGGGTTCGGGTGGGCAGTGGGGGGAAAAGCTTGGCGGCAGTTGGTGAGGAAGCGGCGTGGCCAGTAAGTAATGCGTGGAACAGGGTTCCAGTAGTTGCAGCCCGCCGCACATTGTTGGACGCGCAGCCGCTTGCCCATAGGTGTGCGAGCTACGCGCAAGGAACCGAGGGCCAGCCATAGCGCCCAACAGGAATCAATGAGCTCTAAGACATGGGGGAAACACATACAGCAGAAGAGGACTAGCGGATGCATGAGGGGGCAGCGCATGTGGTGGCTGAGCTGCTTGCCATGTGAGGGGTTCGGGGCATGCGGGGCGCCAGTCGTTAGAGCTGAGAGCTAAGGCCCTCCTTGCATCTATTTACCCCCCTGAAGTTCGCGCAAATTTGGGAAGGGTTTCCTCCTTTGTCAGGCGTTTTTAGGAGGAACCGCCTCGAGCTTTTCAGGCTCTCGGTCTGTGGCCTCTTATTCGTTTCTGAACCTGTTCGGGCTTTGCGTAGTTTGTTTGGTAGTTTTCGGGCGTGGTTCGTGCTTTTGTTTTCTGCCTCTCAGCGTGCGCTTTGGTGGGCTTTTTCTGGTGTCATTGGGCTGGCTTTGGCTTGGGGTAGGGGGTTTTCTCTTTGTTCGTTGTGGCATGAGAGTGATCCATCGGGGGCAAGCTTTGGCTGCCGCTCGTGGGAAGGGCGTGGAGGGTTGTCTTTTGTGTAGGTTTTCAGTCGTGGGATGCCTCAGGCAGGTGAGCGGCACAAGGATGGGCGCCTGGGGTGCGGTAAGTCGGGGCGAAGTCTTCAGGCGGGGCGCTTTCTGCGTGTTTGTTTCTTGGTCTTTTCCCTCTCTGTTTTCAGCTTGGTCGGGGGCTTCTTGGCAGGCGGCCGCGACTGTGCCAGGGGTGGGCCGGTGGTCAGTGCCGTGGGGAGTGTGGGGCGCTTTTAGTGGTTGAGCGCGCCAGAGAATCCTCAAAGTGTTCAGCTGGCTTGCTTCTGAAGAGGTCGCAGCCGAAGTCGTTTCTTTTTGTTGGTGGTAGAAAATTGGCGCTGCCGCTTTTTGTTTTAAAAACGTGAGCCAAAAGCCTTCGCCATGTCATTGGGGAAGACTAAAGTGGGCGTGGGCGCTTCTTGTCTTTATTTGTTGTCTGTAGTCGGTTGAGAGTGTGACACTGTCACTGTTACCTTTTTGGCAACATCTAGGCACTTTTTGCGCTTCTTTTTCGCTTGTTTCTAGTGCTGTCCCGCGACCTTCGGGCCGGGCCTTGTTGGTTTTTGGCGCGATCTGACTGAGGGTTGCGGAATTTATTTTAAAAGATACGCTAGAAGTTCCTTACCCAGAAAATGCAGAAAAATGAGTAGGCAAATGAAATAGGGCAAAGATTGCCAGCGGGCTTGGTTTTGGTAGTGTTCTCTCAGTAGAGAGTTTTCCGACCAGAAATAGAGGAAGTTGCTCGTCTGAAAGAGGGGCGCCTTCCTTTGAAAGCTTGACGCTTTTGATTTAAGCTGTCTGCCTTAGTGATTCAGTTACAGCGCGTCCCTACTACTGACGCACGCCGTGGCTGTTCGTGTCTTCTTTGATTACCTGCCCTCCATGGTTCAATCCTTGAGCCTCAGAAAATTCTGGAGCTAGTGGGGGGGCTGGCGTGTGGTCTTCGGCAAGCGGCTTCTTGGTGGTGTGCTGGGCTCGTGTCTCCATACGATACCAAACCACACCGATAAAAGTTACGAATGTTATTAGCTGAACCTGAAGCGTTTCACTATATCGGTGGCTGCGTACTATTTACGGCTTCACAAGCAACGCGCGGGATCAATCTAAGGGGGACGCTAGGCACTAACCTCGTAGGCAGGTCGCTCCTTCGCATCATGTAGCTGGGGCTCTTTCTTGGTCGTATCTATTGGGCGCATTTCTTGGCACTCGTTTCACTCTAAACAATTCCTTCGAAAGACCTTGCTGGGATCGACTGGCCGACGAAGCTACGCGCTGCCGGTGGAGCTGCTGGCGGGGGGAGTTGTATCCTGCCGTGACACTACCGAAAGACTTCGCACCCACGGTGATTACGTAGAACAGTCTAGAGCTTTCGGGTGAAAATATCGCGGGCGTGTTTCGTTCTTTGCTTTTTATCTCATGAAGACCTTGCTGATATTGGCGGCCTTTTTGGGTGTGTGAGTTTCTAGCCCATATCTTCGCCGCGACTGTTGCCAGCATGGTGGCCAAGCGTGGCGGCCTATCAATGTGCTCAAGAAGGTATCTCCTTGCTTACGAATTGCGGCTGCGGAGAGAGTGAGAGACGAGGAGTGAGCGCAAAAGCACGCTCACCACCCAGTTGGCACGGCGCCCGTTGGCTTTTGCCTCAGGGAGGACCTCTAGAGGAATGGGCCACCGACTTCGAGCTTCAAAATTGCCGCACAAAAGTCGCACGATGGCAAGGGCTTGAGCTATATTGTGGCGCTTTTGCAATGGGTGAGACGAGAGTGAGAGAAGCAAGGCGACAGGGGCCGTATCCTCAGTGGTTGGGCCTCAGACTCTCCCTCCCTTTCTGATTTGGCTTGGTCGTTGTTTGCAAATTGTAACCCGATAAAGCGAGCGCGTGGCCCGTCCTTACTCATTTCTGATCCATTCTCTCATAGTGGTCCACGTGCTGACACGCATTGCGTGGCCCTCTAGTCTACAGCTTGGACTTCTGTCGATGTGCGTGGTGGCTGCTATACGAAACTCAGCGGCAATTTCTTTGCCGGCCTTTATGCCCGAGCGGTGGCTAATCATTCAAGGGCAGAAATTTCCAATAGCTGGCTGCGTGTGAAGGCTGCAGCAGATGGGGCGCCTGCGATCTCGATTGATCTAGCAAAGAAGTTGCTACTTCATAAGCCGGGGCACCGGCTGGACCTATAACCTATACCCATGCATGCTAACGGCCCTCAGATTCTTAAAAATTGAAAAACACTCCCAGGCGACTAGTTGAAAAAGCCGCGAGCTTAGTACTGGGGGTGGGGTTTGTAGTGGTGGCAGATATATTTTCTGTCTGATGTGTTTCTTCTCGTTTTCGGCTTGGCATAAGCTACCTGATCACCACAGTGGGCCCTCTGACTCTGTACGACTTCCATAGAGTTGCGAGTAAAGACTCGCCTCCTTCTTGGGGTGAGATTTGTGACAAGTATGGAGTCGGGCGCCCTTGTTGGCTTACTTTTCCAAACCAGCCGGAATTGTTTTGAGTCAAGGCTCCCACACCGCTGGCAAAGTTTTGGGGCATAGACTGCAGCATGTAAGACAGGCCTACCATACAACTTGATACCAGCCAAGTTCTTTGGTGTCAAGAGTAGCCACCTGCGCAAGACCATTGACATCGCAGGAACCGGCGCCACGTCTGGGCATACCCATCGCGCCAGGGACGACTACAGAGGCAGGGCCGGCCTGGGTTCTTTGGTAATAAGTATGACGCACCAGCGTCATACTGTTAAGAGACAAGTAGCATCGTTATGGCTGCTGCTCATGTTATCAGCATACGCAGGAATGCGGAGAAAGTGAAGGAATTGGGATGGGGTTTATTGTTGTGCGCTGTTTCGTGTCAGATGAAAGCTGCCAGGTAGTACTAGTTGCGCCTGGACTTATGGCGTTTGCCGTTTTCTCAAGGCGTTTACTCCTTGGGCCGTTTTTTTAAAAACTATTCTTACTCGGTCTATCGTATGGGCATAACCTCCCAGACCTTCGAAAAACGCGGGCGCATCACGTTCACGGTGATCGGGTACACGCCTGCAGGGCTTCGCGTCTTTGCTTGCGTCTTTGTGGAAGGCACCAAGGTGGGAACAGTGGCGCACACTCTCTGGGACGTTGTCAAGCGTTGCCCCGTTGGCACGGTCGTCCTCGATGTTGGTCGCGTGTGTTGCAAGCACTTGGCAGGGGACCGACGGACCGGCGGGGGAGTGGGTCCGCCAGGAGTGGGACTATAGACACAGACCACCTGCGCCGAGTCTTCGTGGCTGGCCGGCTTTTCTCTATTAAGCTGCACCGCTTTCACCTATTCAAGCGGCCCCGCACCGGGGCGGGCATTTCTTGCAAGCTCGCGGGCACGTTTTTGCACCTGGTCGGCGAGGTTCTGAGCAAGGACGGCGCGCGCGTGGTGGGGGGGGAGGCTGTTCTGCTCTTCTCTCAGTATGAGCATTTTGGGCACACCGGTCGGCCTCTCTTTACTTAGTAGCAAGATGCCAGGGGTTTTTGCGTCTTTCATCGGACACATTTGGGCGGGATGCGTTCAGGACACTGATTTAGTCTGACAGTGCCAACGGCTGGGGCAGAAGCAGGAGAACAGAAGCCCGCCGACGAGAAGCGACGCGCCGGCTGCGGGGGCAATGCGGTAGAACAGTGGCGCTCGCTCTTCAAGAGCTTCCTCCCCCGGCAGTTGGGTTGCATATCCTCGGCCGTGATGGGCGTCGCAGTGGCGCGCGGTGTCTTACGTTTCAACTCTGACGACTGAGACAAGCGCTCGGGACGTGTTCGCAGTCGACTGCTCCCACGTCTCTCGTATGAAGCAAAAGCGGACGCGCCTGCTGTCGTATTTGGAAACGAGTCCCAGGAGCGTGCGCGCCTTCTCGGGGGCGTTGGATTGGTTCCAGTCGATGACGCCGCCCGGCTGAAACTCAGCAAGCAGGTCGCCCGCTTGCTTGTCATGGGGGCAGGCCCTCGGTGTTTTGCAGCGCGTTGGCGCCTCTAAAAACCAACGCGACAGGCCTCTACGACGCCGCCCCGCCTCGTGTCCGCCGTGATGAGGGTGCATCGCCTTACTGACTCTGCCAAGCCTTATCGGCGCTCGAGTAAAGCGCAGCGGGCCGCGCGATGTCATCGACATCGGCCAACCCTGACGGAGCAAGCGCAGGCGCAGCAGCATCGCCGCCGACAACCTTGGCAGGAGAAGACGGCACCGCACTCCTTTGCTTTGGGTGAAGAGGCGCAATCGCTTGCCAGTGCATTCAGCTGCGCAGCGTCTGGCGGCGCTGGTGGGGTGGCCAGTCTTGGAACCTTCGGCAGCATGGTCGACGAGCAGGCCCAGGTGCCCGCGTCTTCTTCTGCTGTTCAGCATCAGGCTACTTCGCCTGCGTCTAAGAGTGTGCCAGCGGCCTCGCCACAGGGATCGGCTTCGGCCACTTCTACCGCGACCCCTACCGCTGCAGAATCTAGGTCCCCTATGGCGACCGCTGGCTGTAGCCTCTAGAGTAGCTCTGACTACCGCCGCAGCATCTAGCTCTACTACATCGATATCGTCGACGGCCGCCCCGTCTTCGGCGGCTCGGCTTGGTGTTCCTCCGCCTTCTGTCGTCGTAGGGTAGTGGGGGGATCCTCTTCGGCTTTTTCCTCGCGTGGTGCTCTGTCGGATTTAGGGGCTTCAACTGCAGGCTCCTCTGATTCCTCCGCGTCGTCTGGTGTCGGTGTGGTGTGCAAGGTTTGCAAGGTTGCGCGCTTGGCTGAGGCAGACCCGAGAGCCCATGGCGCTTGCATCGGTGGAACCTGTCGGCCATGATTTGTCGGCCGCTGGGTCAACGCTTTAAATTAACCCCAGAGCAGGCCCAATCGGTTGCGCAGCTGGCGAACGCGAAGGCGCTCATGGGTGGCGATCTTTCGCTACCGCAGCTGGTGTGACGCGATGCCAAGCATGAAAAGAAGGTCGTAGAGGTGGCGAGAAAACTGGCGCCGGAAATGGCTTGCGGGCTTTGTTTCATAGTGAAAAAAAGCAAGAAGAACGGGACGCAGCGGCCTGGCAAGACGCAAGAGAAAAGGCCACAAAAATAAAAAGCGGAGGCAATAGATGACGCCCTTGGCCTTTCTGAGGGTTTCAGGCTTTCTCTGTGGTGTTTTATCCAATCAACGTGCTGACTTTTTCGGTTTTATTCTTTGCACCTTTTCCATGGTTCTCGCACTGTGTGGGGTAGGTCGTTACTACGTATTGGCGGGTCGCTTCGCGGGCGCGGGCCTCTGTTGCTCGTCGGTCGTTTTCGTTTCGCTGGCAACCAAGAGCAGGCCCTGGCCCTGTTGCTCTTCGGTCGTTTTCGCTAGCAACCACAGAGAAGATCTGCCTCTGTTGCTCTTCGGTCGGTTTCCCTTTGCTGGCAGCCGGGGGCAAGCTCCTTCGCTGTTTTAAGGTCCTGGCCTTCTGTTCCAAGATCCTGGCCTTCATGCTGCTGCAAGATCCTGGCCATCTGCTGCGAGATCCTGGCCTTCTATTGCAAGGCCCTCCTCACTCTGTTTCAAGGTCTTTCCTCTGGGAGTTCCTCCTCGGTTTCAAGATCTTGCTGTTGAAGGGCCGTCCTCTGTTTCCCGATCCTTCTGCTGCAAGATCTTTTGTGCTGTTGCGAGATCCTTTGCGCTGTTGCAAGGTCTTTCCGCTGCGAGATCCTTCGTTCTATTGTGAGATCTTTCTGTTGCAAGATCCCTCTGCTGCAAGATCCTTCTGCTGCAAGATCTTGGCCTGCTAGTATTGGTATTGCAGGGCCCTCCTCTGTTTCAAGGTCCTTCTGCTGCTAGATGGGCCTTCCTCTGTTTCGCGATCTTTCTCCGTTTCCAAGGCTGTGGTAGCTGTGGTAGATCCTGAAAGCAAGCCCGCCGACGAGATCGAAAAAAAAAACGCCCTGCCGAAAGCTCCCAAACCCCACACCCCGGAACAAGATTGACCAAGGGAGGCGCCGCTATAGATATTGGAGTAGAAGGAGCGCGGGGCGGTGTTTTACTAGCTATGAGCGCCCGACAACATCCCTCCCACTGGGATTCCCCTCCTCCCGAAGGTAGGAAACTATCTAAGCGCGGCCTGTCTGCGTGGGTTTTGCTCGTCTTGTTTCTCTTCTTTCTTCATCTCATGGCCGAAAATTTTCCACGTGTTTTCGTCGTCTTGGGATTGAATTCGCCGGGCTTGAAGTGCTAAAGTCCCAAAGTTAGTTTTTGACTTTAAGCACTTGCCGCGAAATTCAATATCTTGGACTCGAATTTTTCAAATCTCGAAAATTTTCCGCGTTTTTTCGTCGTTTTGGGATTGAATTCACCCAGTTGGAAGCGCTAAAGTCGCCGAGTTTTAACTTCTTGGACTCGGGTTTTTCAAATCTCGAAAGTTTTCCGCTTTTTTTTGTCCTTTTGGGATTGAATTCCGTGGGGCTGAAGAAGTGCTAAAGTCCCAAAGTTTTTGACTTTAGGCACTTTGCTTCGCTGGGTTTTAATTTCTTGGGTTAGAGTTTTTCAAATTCCGAAAATTTTGCGCGTTTTTTCGTCGTTTTGGGATTGAATTCTGTGAGTTTGAAGTGCTAAAGTCTCAAAGTTTTCGACTTTAGGACTTTCTCGGAGATTCAATGTCATGGCCTCGAGTTTTCCTTAAGTTCGTGGCCTCTTCCTGGTTTCAGGGTTTCGTGCGTGGTTTCGTGGTTTCGTGCGTTGTTTCCTGGTTTCTTGGTTTTCTGGTTTCTTGGTTTCGTCCGTGGTTTCGTGGGTTTTCTGGTTTCTTGGTTTCGTCTGTGGTTTCCTTGTTTCGTGGGTTCATGGGTTTGGGGTTCGGGGTTTGGTGGCTTCTGTGCCGGAGAGTTTGAGTCTGAAGAGTTCGAGGGGTTCGTTGTTGTAGAGTTTTTTTTTTGCTCTTTAATACTAGACTTCAGCGCCCGATAGCTCTCCCTCGCCCTCCACTAGAACCCTCCACCCCCTTCGAGCATTTCCTTCGCCAAGACGCGCCTCCCCCGCTCCTCTTCCGCCAGCTCGCGACGCTTTCCTGGCGAAGTGGTCCGCGCCAGAGGAGTCGGGACAGAGGCGCCGCAGAATTTAACAGAGGCGGCCGCTTCTGTCTCTGAGGTTTTTGAGATGTCTCAAGGTTTGCTTGTTTCTGAATTTAGTGCAGGGCTCTGGGTTGGGAGGCTGGGACTGAATTCGGTGAATTTGAAGTGCTAAATTCCCAAAGTTTTCGACCTTAAGCACTTTCTGGGAGATTCAGTCTCATTCTTAGACTCGGACAGTTCAAATTTCGAAAATTTTCCCTGTTTTTTTCGTCGTGGTTCGTTTTGGGGTTCAATTCTGTGAATTTGAAGCGCGTAAACCCCAAAACTTTTGACTTTGCGCACTTTCTCTGAGATTCAACTGCCTGGGCTCGAATTTTTCAAATTTCGAAAACCTTCCACGTTTTTCCGTCGTTTTGGGGTTGAATTCGATGAGTTTGAAGCGCTAAGGCCCCAAAGTTTTTGACTTTAAGCGTTTTCGCTAAGGTTTGACTTCCTGGACTCGAATTTTTCAAATTTCGAAAATTTTCCGCGTTTATTTCGTCGCTTTGGGATTCAGTTCTGTGAGTTTGAAGCGCTAAAAAGTCCCAAAGTTTTTGACTTTAAGCGCTTTCGCTGAGATTCAACTTCTTGGGTTCGAGTTTTTCAAATTCCGAAAATTTTGCGCGTAGATTATTTATGAGCCCATAAATACATAAACTTATGAAGTTCATAAATTCGAAGCGCTAAAGTCCCAAAATTTTTGATTTTAAGGAAGCGCTTCCGCTGAGATTCAATTTCTTGGGTTCGAGTTTTTCAAATTCCGAAAATTTTGCGCGTAGATTATTTATAAACTCTCAAACTCATGGACTTCATAAATTCAAAAGCTCAGAAGTTTATAAATTCCTAAGCTCTTAAGTTCCTAAGTTAGTTTCTAAGTTCGTAAGTTCTTAAGTTCATAAGTTCGTAAGTTCATAGGTTTGGGGTTTGGAAGTGGGGGAGTGAGAGCTTGGCGGGGTTGTTGTAGAATTGTTTTTTAGCTCTTTAATATTTTAGGTAGAATAGAGGGCGTATTAAGATGAAGAGTGGGGGTAGCTCTAGAAGGGGTGTAACTGTCAGGTACGGGGGGGCTCACTCTCCTAGCATGCCTAGGTGGAGAGCCTCTTACAGCACTCGCGGTTCACTGAGCCGCGACCGCGGGTCATCGGCCCACCCCCTCCCTCACTCTTTCGCTGGTCTCTCTCTCTCTCTCGCTGGACTCTCTCTCGCCTCTCTCCCTTGGCTTGTCTCTCTCGCTCCCTTGGCTTCTCTCTCTCCCTCGTCTCTCTCCGCTTCCCCCTCTCCCCCTCTCTCGCTGGTCTCTCTCTCTCTCTCGCTGGACTCTCTCTCGCCTCTCTCCCTTGGCTTGTCTCTCTCGCTCCCTTGGCTTCTCTCTCTCCCTCGTCTCTCTCCGCTTCCCCCTCTCCCCCTCTCTCGCTGGTCTCTCTCTCTCTCTCTCTGAGGCCAGTAGGGTGGCTGGGACCAGTGCGGTTGAGATGATAGCTTTTCGGAATGCGCTGGCAAGGTGAATTTTTAAGACACAGCTTTAACCTTTGCATTGCGCAGTGACTTGGGCCCCCGGAACGGCGCAGGGGGGCTACTGTTTAAGAATGCTGCGTTTCAGGGTGCTCTGACCCAATTCGTCGCGGCGATGGTGCGAGGCCACAAATCGGCACCCCGGGTGTGTGTGACAAAATATGATCTCCGTAAACCTGGTAGCACGGTGTACTCCGCGGGCCCGTTTTTTGACCCCGCCTTCTACGTAGTGCGGGGCCTCATTGGACGCCACACAAGTGAAGCTACAGATCTTTGGTGCGGCAGTCCGGATCTCGAAAGCAAATGGATAGCAATATGGCACGAGAAAAAGGTGCATTACTCGCATAGTTTGCGTGGTTGGTTTTTGAGTGGACCGAAGGTCGAGACAGGAGTTAGACGGGAGTGGGTGATGAGTAAGGATCTAGTTGAAGAAGCCGGCGGGGATTTTAAGCTCGTCGAGCAGAGAATTGAAAGCGAGTCAAAGGGGGGGCCACGTAGTTGGGTAGAGGTGAGCGTGAAGACTTCGGAGCCACACGGAAAAGAAAGTCCAAAGCTGGCGCTCTCTGTAGTGGGAATCACTGCGTAGGTAATAGGTGAATGTTGTAGCATTTGATATTTCGCTTGTTCTCACCTTCTCGGAGAACTTTTGTGAATTTGAATATATATCCCAGGGTTCAGGCTAGCCCCCCCGAGCGCGGGGGGGGCGTGGATCCCCGGCCCCCTTTGGAGGCGGCTGCCAGGGGTGGAAGGCTTCCAAAGGGGTGCAGGGAGCCTCCTCCGCTCCCTTCCAGCTGCCTGCGTGCACCCTGCAGCCTTCCTCGCTGCTGGCCCCTCGCCGCAGGAGCAGCACCAGGGTGCCGGCGGTGGACGGCCTCGGAAGGCGGCAAAAGGTGCAAGGCCGGATCCCCTGCGCCGCGTGGCTTGTATCATTCGGGCCCTTGGTCACTCATCGGCCTGCTGGCGTTTGCCGCGCATTTGATGAGGGCAACCCAGCAAGAGGGGCCAGGCCTCGAGGCCGCGGCCGCCTTCGGCGGCCTTCTGCCGCGGAGCCTTCTGGCTTGTGAGGCTCGGCAGAGGCCAGGACGCCTTTTGGGATGATGCCGAGAGGCGTAAGGGGCCGCCCGCTCCAAGTTTTCACGCCTTCCGCCCCGAGAATCCGCGAAAAGCAGCGCGGAAATGAGCGCGCAAGCCAGCGCCACCGCAGGGCCATCCACAGGGGGGGGCTAGCTTTGCGCCTTTGTATCATATTGATATATATGGACTGTATTTGTCCTAGGGCTGAACGGTTCCTCCCCTGTGGCGGCGCTCGTGCGCTATTTTCCCCGCTGATCTTCGCGGGCGCTAGTCGTGCTCGTGGGAGGCGTCAAAACTGGGCGCGGGCGTCCTCTTGCGCCTCTCTGCGTGTTCTGTCCTCAAGAGCCTCCTGGCCTCTGCTAACCCTCGCAGGGTGGAGGCCTCGGGGGTATGTAAATGGCCGCCTTCGGCGGCCGCGGAGGCCTCAAGGGCAAACAAGCTGGTGCCCAAGGGTCTGGAGGGTACGGGCCGCACGGCTAAGGGGGTCCAGCGCCTCGCCTTGTGGTGCCTTCGGAGGCTTTCTACATCTGGCGCATATAGGGCACTGGCAGGCAGCTGGAATGGGGCGGAGGCGGTCCCCTGGGCCCCTTTTGAAGCCTTCCGCCTTCTTCGGAGGCCTGTAGGGTACTGCCAGGCAGCTGCAAGGGAGCGGAGCGGGCCCCTTGGGCCCCTTTTGAGACCTTCCACCCCCGGCAGGCGGCTCTTGAAAGGGTCAGGGGCTACCGGTGCCCCTCTGTAGGTAGGGTGGGCTGAACGCCGTAGAGCTGTCCAAATTAGTCCCCGTGCGTAGCTCTCTTAGTATAAGGGTGACCCTCTTGCCCTTCTTTGACCGACGCGCGACGCGTCGCGCGCGATGCCGCTCAGTGCTCTGTGGGTCGATCAGGGCTTCATGGATCGGCGTCGATCAGTGATCCACGGCTCGGCCAGTGATCCGTGGCTCGATCAGTGATCCACGGCTCGGCCAGTGATCCGTGGCTCGATCAGTGATCCACTGACGTGGTCGATTAGTGTTCCGGGGATCGATCAGGGACCCCCGGATCGAGCAGGGATCCGCGGATCGATCAGTGGCCCGCGGCTCGATCTCGATCGGTGTTCCGTGGGTCGATCAGTGATCGACCTACGGATCGCCAGCGATTCGCGGACCGGTCAGCGATCCGCGGATCGATCAGTGGCCCCCGGATCGGTCAAGGATTCCCGGATCGGTCAAGTGCTCGCGGATCGATAAGTGATCCCTGGCTCGATCGGTGACCCGCGGATTGATCATTGACCCGTGGATCGATCAGTGTGCCGTGGATCGACGGGGGTCGGTCAGTGATCTGTTGATCGATGTCGATCTGTGACCCGTGGATCGAACAAGGGCGCGCAGATCGATCAGTGATCCACGGATCGGTCATGGATTCGCGGATCCATCAAGGACCCGCGGAGCGATCGAGGATCCACGGATCGCTCAAGGAAGCGCGCGCTGCTTCGTGCTGCGTCACGCTTGAAATTGAGCGCAGAAATCTCGCCCGCGCCCGCAGCTCTCGGCGTCACGCGGTGGGCGTCACGCGTCCCGAACAGCTCTGCGGCGTGCCGTAAGTCCCACGGTGCCCTCCCTGCGCTAGGCGTGGCACCGTCGCCCTGCGCCCTGGATCATATATAAAAACTGAATGGTCGGGCATCTTTTGTGTATCGCGCTACTTAATTAGGGTCAAAGCGTTACTACATGAAAATGTTCAGCGTCTTCAATCTCCCATCATTGTGGCACACCGAAAAATTTTCTCGCTCGCTTACCAATCTTCATGTATGCACTTTCTTATTTGGAATCACTTTTACTAACTTCAACTTCATCCTTCCTTGTACAGACACACTTGACATCGGCTTATATGTTTTTCCTTGGGCGAATGTTATTTTGGATGACGAATGTTTGAATGTTTTTGATCTTTTGAGAGTGCATTGATTGGCACTTATTGGAAAAACTGATCAGGGAGTCCATACACCATGACCGTTACCACGAATGACTATCTTGTGCTATCATCTTTGTAGTTTGGCACGAATCCAAGGATGCATGGCAGGTCACACGTTGAGGTATTCACATTCAAATGGATTGCTTGCTGTTCGCCACTTCTATTCAACATGTAGCCAGGAAAATGGCACCCACTCAGTCAGGGTGCAAATGAGTGCTCAAGTATAGGGCTGTGAAGTTTCTGAAGATCATTTGCAGTGGGGTTGCTCTGTGTCCGTTTTCTGAAAAAATGAAACACGGACTGCTGTTATTCATGTTAGTGCATAGTCACTAATTTGTCGCTTAATCTTTCTTAATCTTATCCTATTAAGAAGTCGTGAAGTATCTATAACTTGGATGTCTCTTGAAGGGGAAAAGTGAGATCCTGAAATATCAGAGAGCTCCAATCGGTGACGACCGCGATGAGGCGGCCGCCTAACTAATCACGCAGCGAGTGAGGTCGTGAGTCCAATAGTCTCATCGTGTCGAGGTAAGTCGTTCCGTTGGTGCGCTACACGAGTGAGGACGCCGCGTAGCTTATGTCGTGATCCTCATCGTCATGCATATGGACAGTGACGAGATCAATCATCCAACCAGCTCACAGTTTAGGACTTTGCGCCTGCTTTGAGCAATGACAAAACGGCTCTCCGCTTTCAAGTTTTTCCTCGCTTTCGCTCAGAGTGAAATTGTGTCCACACCGATGCAGCTCTTTGCTCTTCCCCTTACAGAAGCCCAAGGCTTCTGCTTTCAGCACTATCGTCTATAGTCGCCTTGTCCTTCTCCTGACCCAATTCCAGACGATATTCATACTGTCTATTTCATCCCTACAAGCTGTTCATCACTAATATCTTGCACCTTAAAGTTCTTGTCTGGAACTGTATGAAGACCATGCATGTAACCTGTAGTTAGAGTACGAAGATTTTAAGACCTAACCCACGGGGGCTTTTCCTTTTGGAAAGAAAAAATCGCGACGTCTTATAGTATCTGATTCCGGACGTTAATGTGACAACATTGATCTCAGCATCAGATCTTCTTCTGCTTTGATTTATCACGGTCACGGACGCTTTCGTTAGTTCGAGTATATGACAACTTAAATAGACATCATGATTCATCAATCAAGCAATCAATCAACTACTTGGTGTGAACAACAAAGAGAACAGTCAGACACGAGTTGCGTGAGAAGCCAATGATACTTGTATAATGATATTATCGTTCTTTGTCAGGTTTTTGTAGTTGTTCTTTTACTTTTCTAGCGTTAGCGTTTGCGTTTTGATATGGTTTTGGAACAAATTGTTGCTGGGTGGCACTTCGGTGCGGCCGGACTGTCTCGTGATGTTCAAGGGGGCCGTCGTGGCGGGTGTCTGGTCGTTGCTTTCTTTTTATCGTGCGTTGCGCTATGGTTGAGGGCGGACGAAGACCAGCGCGTTTTGTTTGCCTCGATCTTCGGATTGAGCCCAGCACTCGAAGGAGAATCGGGGAGTCACGGCGTTGGTCGTTCGGATACGTCCAATTGGCGGGGGCTCGCAAGGATTGAGCGGACACCGGTCCTCCCGGTTTTTCCAGAATTACCATTGTCAGAAGTGAACCGAGCTAAAGACCCTTCGCGACGGGCTTTCTTTTCTGCGGATTACCAACGCGATTTTCAGGACTCATGGCGGACAGCGCGGCCAGGGACCCTGTTTTCGCTCGCACGGGGTCCGCTCAACTTCGGTGTCGCCTGGCGCGGCGGTGCACCGGCTACAGGAAAAAAGCGGAAGGTTGGCGGCATTGGCGATGCAACTAGTAGCAAGTCGGCATCTTCTTTTGTGTGGCGTCACCACACAGTGACAGCGCCACATTCCGAGGTGGCATTTCGCTGGCGGCGACACAACGGGGCGACGTATGGGGAGGAGGAGATCTCAGATGAGAAACTAGGTGTCGCCTTCCGTTTGGAGTATCGCTCCTCTCCAGACGGCTTTGTTTTTCGAGCAACCTGCACGCGCGCCTCCACAGCACAACTAGAAGGCGTTTCGTATGCGAAGAAGCAGTGCGACCATGTGGATTTCTTCCTTTACTGGTACAACGAGGACGTTGAAGAAAGGCAAGGGTCTTCTATGTCCTCTGCCACGTCGAATAGCAAAGACTTATTCTTACGGCCAACGAGCTTTTCATCTTGCTCTCGCATCCGGGTGAGTGAACTACAAATACTCTCATCAGTGAAAAGCCGTGACTTTAGTTAGCTTCTACCTCATGAGGAATCACAATCAGGGAGCGATACATGATGTATACATACTAAAGCGGCGCCGGATAGTGACATCAAAGTCCTCGAATCCGAACCGACTAAGATCATCAGTGACATGAAAATACTTCTAATATCTCAAGTGTCACTGGAAGATCTCACGCCAAACAACAGTGGTGAAAGCGGCAGGCGAAGTCGGAAGGTGTTTGCTTCCGTAAAAACATCGAGCCTTACATTCGATATAACGCAGTCATCTCTTCAAGTAGGAGATGGCACGCAGGACGAAAAAGAGATGACCACGTCTGAAAACCAGAAGCCCGAAGCTTGTACGCTGCCAGCCGAAGGGACGAGATCACCTCGCAGTGCGAAATTGTGGGACTTCGTTGCAGTCTGGAAAGAATGCAGGAGAGCCAGTAAGAAGAAGAAAGGAGCAACAAGCTCCACTAAAAATTTATGGAACATCTTGACGTACTTCGTTCGAAAAACGTGATGCACTATATGGATCATGATGTGCGCGTATGCGGAGTCTTTTCCATCAGAATTACTGGTACTTACCTTTGTAAAAAGGCAATACATACTTACTTTTGCGGCACTTGTTTTTTCACGGAACTGAAGTGCCTGAAGTCTGACAGATACTTTTCGCACAACATATTCTTGTGATGGGGAAAACGCCTTTCTTCATAACCAAGCAATTATGAGCGCACCGATGCGGGTTCCAACTGGGTTGCTCTGCGCATCCCGTTGCATAGGAGCACTGTCACAGTGCGCGGAGGGAAAGCACATGTAAATGAGGAGCAGGAGGCATTGGATCTTGAAGATGAGGTCGAGCAGAAACTTGCTGCCGGTCGGGCCGACTTCTGGGAGCGAATGGAACGGCTTTTTCCCGCTGCGAGTGGGCTGCAAGGAGGCTCCTCGACTGCAAATGACGGACAGGTGAGCCACGAGGACGAGACCAGCCACGCGATCCGCGAGGCCGCGGTGGCCTCTCTTCTGGGAGGCATTGGGACTTTTGAAGGCAGTCTTTTGTTGAAGGACTCGGATGGGAACGAGCGGCAGCGGACTTCTGCGGTGTATCGACTGAAGAGTGGAACACCTGCACGCGCAATGTTTCCGCGCGGATTCCTATGGGACGAGGGCTTCCACGGTCTCGTCTTCGCGAAATGGGAGGAAGAGTTAGGACTTCTCACTGACAGCGCAAGTCAAAATCTTTGGGTTGCATGTCAAAGTAAGTACCGGAACACTGAAAATATTTTTATTGGAAATAAATAAGCGAGTAATCCATTCCTGAAATGAATGCTTGTTAACTTCTCAAGGCCGCTAGTAACATACGGCTGCCACTTCAGTTAGTACCCGGTTTCGGTTCGTAGTTGCAGTTGATTCTGTGCTTATTTATTAAGCTTCTGGAACAAGTAGAAAATAACATGACCTCCAATGGCAACGTGGACGAATAAGGTGGATTGTGATGTTGAGCTCTAACGCAGCTTTTTCTGGAGATATGCCTCGATTGGTTTTCTCTCCAGGATCGTAAAACAGGGTGGATTCCGCGCGAAGTGCCCCTCGGGCTCGAGAGCGAGAGTTTCGTCCCCGACCGATTTCTCGGTCAGCAAGCGGGCATTATGAACCCGCCTACGCTTCTGCTGGGCATATTGCAGTTAGTCGCAAAGTATTTTCCGCATGCAGGGGCTGGACAAGACGACGCGCCGAATGCTGTCAATTTAGGGATCATGAATATCAGAAGTTTTGACTTAGAAGTTTGAACACCTTTTTGCTCAAGTTCGTTGTCTTCACAGACTGATTACGCAATGAATTGATATTATTCGTTGAGTTGAAGAAACATTAGAAGTCACGCATGCTGAGTAATTTATGACGAAATTACTCGTTCTGAATATATTGAGTATGCAAACAATTCATTTGTACATGCTCAGATTAAGAGCGAACCTCCGGGGATCGTCTCAGTCAGTACATACTCACCATTGTGAAAGATTATACCATAGATCGAGACAAAACTTATATATGACTATCCCTCGAACTCGAGCTAATTTTCTTCTGCAACTACTACACCGTAAATCCAACGAACTACTTACGCATTCTTCTAAAGACATCAAACGCGGCATCTACGGGTGAATCTGCTACAACCGACACGCATGAGCAAAGCTCTTCCAGAAGGTTCACGCGTTTTCTGTACCTGATACTGCCTCACGTGGCCAAATGGATGGAGCAGTGGCACTTGTCACAGGAGAACGTTCTGCGAGTGCCTCGGGACGAGAAGATGCCGACCAGTGTCTGGGACACGCTGCAAGTACTGTTGCACGGTCCGAAAATTCGAGATACCAGGGAAATGGAGAGGACCTTTGGAGTCGACGAAGACACGTGTTATCGCTGGAAGGACCGAGTAGACGAAAAACACACACTCAGCAGCGGCCTTGATGACTATCCAAGGGGTAGCGACTCCTTTCTCACTATCAATATGATATCATTATGAAATACCAATGAAGAAGACGATGAATCCTAATTCCTATGTTGAACATTATGAATATGTGGTCTTTGTCATTAAGAAATTTTTTTCTTTTCGAGTACGAGTGTTGACGAAAGTATCATGTCACGCGCCGCTTTCTGCTCTTTTGTTTCTCTTAAATACTTAGCTAACTGAACCTGATGGCCTTTGAGGTAGGGCCATCTCTTTGGTTCTTTGGTGTTGGATGCGATTGGCTTTAGATCCTGGCATGGTGAACCGGTGCCCTTGGTCTTGTCAGGAGCGGCGGTCTAGAGTCAGTGCGAGCACCCACCCCACCCAGTGTTCCTCCACCAGAGAACCTGGGGCGTTGGACGCCAAGGGCAGCAGCGTCGGTTTTTGATTACTGTTTATACTGTTTAACCGTTCCTCCTCGCCTTTGCTTTTCTCCTGACTGATACCACGAGAGTTGAGCGTGGAGCGTGCGTCTCGTCTAAACACCCTCCGACCTGCCCTTCACCTACATGCTGCTTCTTGATCAGGGACTAACTTGGACTACTGCTAAACCTTCATCTTCTTGTCTTTCTCTTTAGTGTGACTGATGCTTCTAAGCAGATATCGTCATGGGAGTTTTCGTTGTTGTACTGTGCACTGCAAGAAGTAGAATAAGACAAAGGTGCTGTATTGTTTCTGCTCTATGATTGTGATCAACGTTAACGCAGGTCTCTTTGTGAACCCTTCTGAGGAATGCCATTTAGACAATCACGTCTGGTTCACGCTTCTGGTGCATTCTCTGGAGCGCATCTGTGGCGCTCTCAGTAGTCTGGTGGATGCGAATGATGAAGCGCTGTTTAAGGGGAGTATCTGCGTATATCATCCTTCCGTGACTGTGAGGCATCGTCCTGCTGAGTCAATTCCCGCCGATAATCAAGGGTATGCTCAGGGATTTCGATTTCCTTAGTCACGGATATGAGTAAATGACATACTTACTAGCTTTAAGATGTCTCCGTGGTGTACGGCACTGGACTATTCACTCATGGGCGAAAAACTTCGAGCCGGATTGTACAAACAACACTGGGACGCAGGCCAGCAGATCCTCGCGGATTTCGCTGGGACTCAGCCAGTGAAGAAAAGAAAGAGAAATTACGGCTGTGCCAGACTCTCCCCGTGTCTGTTGGAGAAATAGAATACCTACCACGTTACTGCAACAGTATTTATTGCATAACACTAGCCTCCACAAGCTTCGCCCGGCTTCAAGTTAGTTTAGCACTTTCCTGCGGCCTCCCACGGGCTACAGCCGCTAGAGTAGAGACAGCCCGCGGGTGAGCTGTTGCACCTTACGAATTGACTACGACAAGAGCCGAGTGCCGGCGGTGGCCGACTCAGATGCGTCGACTCATGTGCAGGGCATTGCGCTGCCTTCGGTTTTTTTTTGAGATTGCCGGGCGGGTCATGCAAATTCTTAAGAATTTGCAAGACCCCCACGGCAGTCCAACAAAAAAACCAGAAGAGAGCCACCAGACACGCACAAGAATCCGCAAGCCCCAACGCACGCAAGCGCCTCGCGGTGGCGCCAGGCAAGAACGAGGGGCGACCTTGATGGGCCAAACAAGACAAAGCAACGCAGGGCCGCGCTGCTTGGGTCTCTCTACGCGCTTACACCTGGCGGGGCTTCTTTGTTTCGTCAGATGTCTCTCGTCAGAAACAGGCGGGCGCACTTCGCGGGGTCGTGCGGCGTCGCGCTTCGGGCTGTGGCTGAAGCCTCTCGGCTGGCTGACGTCTTTCACCAAGCTGGAGACTAAGGCCCTCCATCAGGCTGATGCCGTTCGTCAGCCCAACGCTCTGCGCCAGGCTGGCGGCGTTCGTCGGGCAGGCCGGCGCCCCTCGGCAGGCGTCTTGGGTCAGGCTGAGGCTTTTCGTCAGGGTCGGGCGACGTCTCTCGTCAGGCTGAAGCGCTTCGCCTGGCTGACATTCCTCGCCGGGCCGAGACTCACGCCTTTGGTCAGGTTGATGGCTTGCTTCAGCTCGGCGCCGTTCGTCAGGCTGATGCACTCGCCAGCCAGGTGAGGCCTCTCGCCAGACCGGCGCAATGCTTCGCCAGGCGTCTGCCTTGCGTCGGAACAGGCTGAGCGGGGCCTCTCTTCGGGCTGTGGATGTCTCTCCTTCGTAAGGTTGATTCCGTTCTTTCGTCGGACTGACGTGCTTCGCCAGATTGACCGCGTTCGCCGGACTGACGTCCTTCGCGAAAGGTCTTCGCTATCTTCAAGGGCCTCGCGCCACAGGGAGGCCCCGCGTCAGTTTTTCTGGCGGAGGTCGTTCGTCAGATGTCTGCTGTCGTGGGTCTCACTCTTGTCCTGTCGGAGGTCTTGGGCCCAAAGGTCGTCTTTGGTCCACAGGTCGCCGGTGGTCCACAGGTCGCCTGTGGCCCAAAGGTCGGCTTTGGTCCAAAGGTCGGCTTTGGTCCAAAGGTCGGCTTTGGTCCAAAGGTCGTCTGTGGTCCGGAGGTCGTTTTTGGTCCAAAGGTCGCCTCCCTTACTTTGGTCCAAAGGTCGCCCTACTTTGGTCCAAAGGTCGCCCTACTTTGGTCCAAAGGTCGCCCTACTTTGGTCCAGAGGTCGAAGGGTCGCCTTACTTTGGTCCAGAGGTCGTCCTACTTTGGTCCAGAGGTCGGCGCACTTTGGTCCAAAGGTCGGCTTACTTTGGTCCAAAGGTCGCCTTACTTTGGTCCAAAGGTCGCCTTACTTTGGTCCAAAGGTCAACTTACTCTGGTCCAAAGGTCGCCCTACTGTGGTCCAGAGGTAGACGCACTTTGGTCCAGAGGTCGCCTGTGGTCCCGCGGTCGTCTTCGGTCCCAAGATCGTCTTTGGTTTCAAGGTCGTCTTTGGTCCCAGTGTCGTCTTAAGTCCCAAGGTCTCCTGTGGTCCAGAGGTCGCCGGCCTGTGGTCCAAAGGTCGCCCCTGGGTCAAAGATCGCCTTTGGGTCAAAGATCGCCTGTGCTCCAAAGGTCGTCTTTGGTCCAAAGGTCGCCTTTAGTCCGAAGATCGCCTTTAGTCTGAAGATCGCCCTTGGTCCAACGATCGCCCTTGGTCGAAAGCTCGCCTTTGGCCCAAAGATCGGCTTTGGTCCATGTGTCTTTGGTCCAAGGTCTTTGCCCTTTCGGTGGGCGGTCTTTCGTTGGCTGTCTCTCTTTGGACTTTTCTCTGCAGCTTGCGCCCCCACCCCCGTCGGCCATTTTTCTGCCTTCTTTTCTGGTGGTCTGCCACGGGGCCGCAACGTAAATCCCAACAAGGAAACGGCCGGAGGCTATCAGGCTTGAGAATGAGGGGAAAGGGCAGGAGGCTATGGGCAATAGCTTCGCGAAAGAAGCTGACTAATCTCCAGTGGGTTAGGCGGGGAGTTTTATGGCGAGATTAATAATGTAGATTAATAATATAGATTTTAGTAGCTGCAGTAGGTACAACGAAGTAATTTTTTCGAGACATGTGTTGAGATTTGTCTAAGTAAAAAACAACGAAGACGGTCCGGACTTTCAAGCAATCGTTTCTCCGCCATGGGACGGTAATGGGCAGTGCGGAGTTGCTGTCGATGCTTTAGTTAAGAGAAAATTTTCACGACGATGTATTTCTTTCCTTCAATAAATTTCTATTTCAATCGATGGGTAATGCCCCTCCGAAACCTCCTTGAACTTTCCTTGTCTGGCTTCATGCTCACGGGGAAGCCAAGGGTAACGACTGAGTTAGCACTTCGGTCAGGATGATCAGGCAAATCCAATTTACTTATCAAGTTTTTCTGTCTCTTTCTGCTTTCCTCATTCTTAACCTTAGCAGATAGAAAAGGAAATTGAAAAACTGCCGCTAAATTCGGTCGACGCGTGAGGAAAGAGTGCGAGATCGGGCAGTGCTGCTCGCCGTCGGGTTGGTGCGGGAGCACACCTGAATACTGCAATTGTCCACAGTGTACTTACGGCTACTGAAAATTTATCTTCATCAGAAGCATCTAGGTTGGCAGAGTGAGCGTTCTGGTAGTTGTCCGAGAACACATTACTATAGTAAGAGAACGCTCTTCTTTTTCATCAAGACGAGTCAGTAAGGATCATGTTGCGTCAGTACATTATCATAGATATCGCGAAGTGTGTATCAGTTTTCCTTTTCTTTCTTCATCCTAAGATACATAAGTAAGTAGGAAAGTCTAACGCCCAAAGTTCACGAAGCCTTTACGCGACCGGCCAGGGTATAAAAAAGTGCTCCCTCTACACAGCCCCCATTTCGGATACGTCAATCTTCTACCATACGTCTTCGGGTTGGAAAATTATGAACAGTAAGTAGTTATACTCATAGTTCTGCTGCTGTTTATGGCGTAACAAATAAAACTCCACTGGCTACTAGTACTAGTACCATGGATCAGTTCTTTGTAGTACAAGTACACCATCTTTTCAATTTCGCTCTAATACGCATTGTCGCTGGAAGACGGTCGTTTTCTAGCGCGAATGCAGACCGAGCTTTTCTCCCCCTTCGGTGTGCGGTCGCTTTCCAATCTTGACGAACTCTCTGGAAAAGGCGAGAATTACTGGCGAGGAAAAATCTGGGCCAACATTATGATAAGATTATACCCGCTTCGGATTCACTACGTCAGTAACTTAAGTACGACGTCGTGATAAATTGATGAGATTTTTTACCTTGGCTTTGTTCACCTATCAAACTCATGAAAATTATCTGCATTGCCTGACATCCGCATTTGTGCCAAGCTTTGGCGAGGCCTATCTCGACGTTCTGATTAGGATATATAAGGATACTTGATCCAGATGATTTAGCAGTGGTGGAAGGTTTTTATCTTCTAAGGAAATGAATTTGCTTCTCTTCGCACGAATGCAGAGTGACCTGGACATCGCGTCTCGTGCCACTGAGGATCAAGCTGAATTATTAGCAGATTCACTGGAGGATATGCTGGCTCGGTCTAGAGACGGGTTTCTTCTCAACTTATGACTGCTGGTTGAGCACTAATTCTACGCAACTTCAGGGACGAGCATTGATCTTGATGCTAGTTCATGATTGAGCAACATCAAAGCTCTCTGTGTGAAAGAAACCTCGCTTTTCGTTTGAGAAATATTCCATCCTCAGTTTTAAAGTGTCAGAAATGAATAAAAGCAAGAAGGAGTAAAAGAAGATAGTCGCTTGAACTTCAACGAGGATAAGAGTATAACTCTAGATTAATAGTCGCTTGCACTTCTAACTAGGATACTAGGATGATTAGTAGATTAGTAGATGCTTATGCTAATGCTTGCACTTACTAGCATGAAGACGCACTTCATACAAAAACAAGTAAGTGCCACCTCCACCTTCTAATCAAGGTTGAAAGAAATTACCGACAGCATGGCAACTTCTTCGAGAACTTTGATCCTGTAACTGGAGATGGTACAGGCGCTCTTCCTTTTACAGGATGGACGGCAGCGGCGTATCTCCTCTTATTTATGTTGAACAGGAATCGGTGAAGAATGTGTATTTCAAATTAATTATGTAGATCTTGCAACTGATAATTGCTACCTGCAAAAGAATACCGTTAAAGATGTTGAGATAGATGGCGACAGCAAGGACTCTTCACTTGATTCTACTAGTTTCAAAGACCTCTGATTCGTCACGACTTTACTCTCTAATTTCACGACCACGACAGCAAGTGGGACTAGTGCAGGAGTTGGAGCATTGACCTCTCTTCTTCCGAACCTGGGAGGCACAAAAGCGCCGACGCTCGCTGAGAAGGAACTTTAACTTAACACCTGTTGTTAGATCAAATATAGTTAGTGTGCCGCGCAAGAACCTTGCTCGAGGCACGCACCCAAGGTTTTTCTCCCACATACCTGTAAGCAACATAGATATTGCTTTCCAGGGGCGATGTTTGAAACTACTAACTATGCGAGGACTACAGATGGATCGAACCGTACAAACAAAATGCAACGCGAACTGCCGATTGAAGTGCTCAATTGGACTCCAAGATTCTGCCCCTCCTGTGATCGTATACCAGGCTTGTTATACTGGAGCACATTATCCCGGATCCCATCGACGTAAAAACGGATTCAAGAATACAAAATAGCTGTGCTTTGTTACTGTGAGGATCAACAAGTTATTCAAGTTTCGAAGGAGTATGCGCGGCGTCAAAGCTCTTTTCTGCCATCTAATCGTACGTCTGTTGTTGTAGGCAAACTCCTAGAGTATTTCAGAATCCAGCAGCAGCACGTCCACGTAAACTTGGTACAGGAGGAATGGAATGCGTTGGCATTTACAGAGATCCACGATGATCACTTGTCGGGACCTGCGTGGTCTTGTTGTAAACAGAATGGACGATTTTGAATCAGGAAGCATACCTGTGAATGCAATCGTCACTGGAGGTGATAGTACATCGACGACAGAATGAGATCCAATCAAATAAATATCAGTGCGACATGTCTGCGGATGGTGCAGCAGGTCATGACACGTCGAATGATAAAGCCGTATGTTCAATGAGAAACAGCGTTTCAGAGCAATTCATTCATGTTTTTAGCTAAAGATGGATCAGCTAATTTTGATTTTGCCAGTTTTCTTTCATTGCTGGGCAAAAGGACAGTTTAATTATGTTACAGAAGGACAAGTCTTCAGCCTTCCGGCAAATCATGTCAGGCCTTTCAATTGGTTTCGGTTGTTGATTTAGTTTGGCCCCCTCTCAGAGGATAAATGTACTTATGCAAGGGCTTTTCCTCCTTACATACTAGGTTAGGCTCTACTCGCCCAGCACGTGAATGATATGTCGTGAGAAGGGTAATCAACATATAAACTCCGTACTTACTAAGTCATCTACTTGTTCTACTAGAGTAGACAGTATGTGGAAGTTTCGATGGTCACGACGAATGAATGGCCACAGTCCCCATAACCCTTGATGACCCGGAACTTGTATGCGAATCAGTTTACGGTGGCAGCTCTCATATCTCTTGATGATCTTGAATTTTGACTTTTGGATTTGATGTATTGGTATTCACCACGAACGCATCTTGTTCTTTTGAACGGATAGAGAACCGATGGCGTCGTCTTCTCGAAGTGCGGCTTCCCGCGAAGAACGTTCCGCCAAAGAGACGCGCGGGCTCATCGTCGAGGCTGACTTGCCGACATTGGCGTATCTGCGTCTGAATCTGGATCCGCGTCTAATCTTAGATGGCTCGAGGAAGAACTCGATTTTCGTCGTGCGAGGTTGCGAGGAACGATTGCAGGAACTAGTGGATGAATGCAGTAGAAACTGTCGAAAGAAGCCCGACGCCACCGACCATTTCTCGTCGAGGCGGGGTGGCCAGTAGATGACTCTCGAAAATGGACGAACGATTAGGTGATGCGACAAGAACGGTTTTTCTTGAAAAGAAGAGATGTACTCAGCTGCAAGGTAGCTTCGCGTTCGAAAGAACATACAACTCACAACTGTCAACATAGCAGCGTCGTCGCAGTGTCGTTCAGGCGCAAAATAAAACTCCACGCAGATTTCCGAGAAGAACTGGAACAATGGGCGTAAGCTCTTTTTTGAAGTACACGTACTGATACCACGTTAGCGGTATTGCTATTGATACAGAACTTCGGTCAGCAGGGGCAGGACGATGTCGAGGAAAATATCTCGTCTGGAGACGCTTATTGCGAGATACATCGCGGATGACCCGGAAGACGTGACCCCCACGGACGAGGAGTCTCTGCCGACCAAGAAATCCGGTGGTGCTCTGAATGACACTGCTCACTTTGAATGTCTCCGATGCTGTCGTGTGAAGCCGGTTTCTCTCATCCCAGACCCCACTTCACCAGGATATGAGGCAGAGGTACATGCGTCAGGAACTACAGGACTAGTAAATGGCGTGTCGTTCGATCCTCGTGAAGATGAAACAACTAGACACGAATCTCAACAGCTGCGGAAGCGCAAGGCTGTAGACGGAGATGACGAAAAGAACGCAGGTCTTGACAGGAGAGCGAAGAAGGTAGCATCGCAAGAGTCTCAGGTAGACACTGAAACAAGTAGAATCAATGCTATGAGGGCGAAAATGGACGAAATTCTTTCCATCGCGGACGAGAACGATCCAAGAAATATTTTCTCTGCTCGGGGTGTCTTAAAGACGTTGAAACTGACTGGTGGACGACGACGAGTTTTTTGGTGTAACCATGGTTTTTTAACAGATAACATGTTTTTCGGACGCGCTGCTGTGGAAAGCAGTAGAGGCAGTTCTTCTAGTCATGAGCGGGAAGAACAACTTCAAAGCCATGTTGACTCTTTCGACAACTCGAGAACATTGTATAATAATCCTTCACTCGCCTCATCAACGTCTATTTCACCTCCACGAGGCACAACTATAGCGGATCATTCCTTGAGCAGCAAAAATACGCCGTCCTCTTCGTCATCGTCACCATTATACTTGGGTCGGTCACATCCTCCCGATTATGCTAGCGCCGCTAGTAGGCCGTTTCAAAATGCGGTTGAGAGTATCGATGGTCTCCAACACTTGGGGAATGGCTGTCTTCACGGTCCTGTTTGTGGGAGTTGCGCAGCATACCTGCAGCTTCAGACTCTTCCGACGTGTCCCGGCTGCTCCGAGCTGCTCGACACGGAGAGGTCATTTGGCTGGGACCTGCCAGTTCCACGAGTGATAGCGGAGAAATGGCGACGTCGTGCGGAAATACTGAAGAACAGAAGAAGATCTCCTGCATCTAGTAGGTTTAAACTTGAACAGAGTCTTCATTCAGAGGTCATGGGCGCGAAGGTTGTCCATTCCGTGTCTTGGCTTGTGCGGGAGACTCGTGGTCTAGTATTGAAGGGATTACGTGCTGGGGCAGTGAGCATAATGCATTTGGATGATTTCACACCACACGTTACGGCTCTTCTGAGGCATTCTCGGGCTCGCATTCGAGGAGGACAGGTCGTAGAGGACGAAGGGGTGGCATCTTACAGGAGGGTGCTTGATGAACTGACTAGAGCAGCGAGGGTAAATAGGCCATCATTGCTGAGTACTAGTAGTAGTAGTAGTAGCGAAGCTCGAGATCCTAACGAACGTATCCTCGGCGCGGCAATGGCTGGCGATGTAGCTTTTTCAGACTCCAACGCGTCTGCGAGAAATCGGGTTGGTGACGAGTTTGGTGAGGTCACTGCACCGACAGCTCGCCAGACAAGCTGTCTCCAAAACAAGTATGCTTTTCAATGTGAATCGCGAACGGTTTCTGTTGCCTTGGCGGTGGTGCTCTTTTTTGTGCAGGCTGTAGTGGCTCTAAGCGCTCTGTTGGCGATAAACGCTTGCTTCTTCGGACCGCTCGAACCGGGTGACCCTTTGAGGCAGGACTTTGCATCTTTCCTTGTGGAGCAGAGCGGATTTTCGCCCAGTAAGAAACAGAAAATCCCAAGCGGAAACAAACAATCCGCTGGAGCTAGACATTTACATCATCGAAGACAGCCACTACGACTAACTGAAATTATCGCGATTCTTCTCGGTCCACATTGGGCATATTTTTTCGCGTGGTATGTTGCATGGATTGCCGTAGGCGCGCCAATCAGTCGTTACCTGGTTCACGGAGTCTACCAGGAGGTCGTAACCGGTTGGCTGCTTATTTGATAGCGACAGAAGGCAGAGAACTAGCGCCCCTAGCTCTCGTGATGAAAATCCTTCCTTTCCAATTGTTCACTCCACACCTCCCCTTGTTGATGCTCTCAGTCACACATAGACGGCCCTTTCATCCCAGACACACAGACGACCTCACTCTCATGGTGGATACGAATGGTTACATCGATCACCGCCATGGCGGAATGATGTTTCACAAAATTGACGATGGCCGTAGGCTCCGTACCTAGTACTTCTTCTCTTGGTTGAATGACTTTGTTCTACTTGCTTACCTCTGCAGTACAACATGCTCCACTGAAACATGCATTCGCTTATAATGTCGTTGAAAAGAGAGCAAATGCCAAATTCTCTGCTTTCTGAGTTTTCATGTCACACCATTCGACTCTGATATCGCACTGTTTTCGCTGCGTCTGCTTAAAGTGATGTGTCGAGGGTAGAAGCCTACTTCTTGTGACTTCCAAGTGCCGTGTTGTGCCTTAGCGTAAAAAGAGAGAGGGACGAGGCAAGGTGAGGAGAGAAAGATGAGCGCCGCGATTGAATTCTGGAACTCGTGTAAAAACAAAAGTTTTTTAGTTGTGATCCAAAATCCTGCTATCCAATTTTTCGACTCAGTGGCAAAGTGGCAAGGTCAAAAAGAAGAAAAGCAACATACAAAGTAGGGCATACGGATTGAGCAGGTATGCAACTGCTAATTTGGTCTCGCCGACAAGAAAAAAAGTGAGCCTATTCTGCATAGGGTATGATAGATTCTTACTAGGAGCGCGTTGGCAGTCTTTCTCTTTTTTCCTCGACAATTCATTCTTCTTATCCAGTATTAAGTTGAAAGAAGTCACTCACACGTGAGGCATGTGCATAGATTGGAAGCACGTAAAATTCTGAGTGAGACAGATCCATAACTGCAAGCAGATATTCGCTTGTCTCGCACAACTGCGTTAAAAAGCACGCACAGGGCACGTAAGCAGGCGCTGCGACGGATTACTGCCGATAGCGCGTGTCGGGATTGAGGCGGAAGATTCGAATGATAAGCGTACAACCTGCGTAGAAAGTTCCTGCATCACGAACGGCGGGTTATCCTGCACTTGTCGCAGTGTTACGAATTTTCATCACATTTACTGTACGAGTGCAGCGTAGAGTTCAGGAGCTTCAACACCGTTGGTGAGTCAGTATTTGGGCGTGAAGAGGGCGCGAGGAAGAGGACAAGCCTACGGATTAAAAGCAGGACATTTTCATCTGCAGAACGCACGATACGCGGATAGAAGAGGTGATCACGACGAGGTGTTCGATTGTGGAACTAAAGTCTATCTATTCCGTGTCGAAAACTACGAGACTCCTTTGGATTGTGAACAATAAACGCATTTGTGTACGCACCTTGATCGCCGAAAGGAGGACTCGCACGACAAAACGAAAAGAGAATCTGAGCGTTACTCGAAAGATCGGAGCTGAGACGTGCGGCAGCTTGGAGGCGGTGACCGTGACTGGTTTGCTGCCGAAGGCTTGGGATAGCCTTTACCGAAGTAGAAGAAGAAAGTCAAGGTAAGCTGTGAAGCGGAGGAGCAGCATCATCGCCAGCTGTCCGCCGACAAAGCACGACTAGATGCTCTAGCGTGCGCTCAGAACTACTCTCAAACGCTTCAGATATTGTTGAACAAGTTTCTGCACGCACACACCAGCGCGGGTTTCAGTAAAACCTACTTTAATAAAGGGCCGGCACAAACGGGGCGACCAGGAACATACGGCGATCTCGACCAGAGAATCGTTCTTGCTTCCAGCCCAGCAGAGCAGAAATTCTGTGTCGTTTATCTCCTGGACGAGAGCACGAAGATGATCGAGCAAGACGTTGATACGGCCCTGAAGGTGATTGTGGTGGGAAATGGGCAAGTCGGGAAGACCTCGATGATAACACGTTTTGCACGTGGAGTCTTCACAGATACCTACAAAAAGACACTGGCAGTCGATTTCCTGGAGAAACGCATGATAGTTGGGACAGAAGAAGTTACTTTTCTTCTCTGGGATACCGCAGGGCAGGAAGAATACGACGCTATTACACGAGGTATAATAGTTCAATAATGCGACTATGCCATACATCGTTTCATCATCCGAAGAAGTTGATGTTCCATAGTCGGTTGTGCCTTCGCTGAAGTAGCCAAACCACGAATAGTATTCTTCTACGTTGTTCTTGCTTTGCTTCTAGTGTCTGCTGTTTCAACACACGACGCTTTGGCCAACATTCCACTAGAATGCAGGTTACTACCGGGGAGCCGGCTGTTGTATCATCGCCTTTTCGACAACCGATAGGGCAAGTTTTGACGCGGTTGAAAGCTGGCACAAAAAAGTTCGTGACGAGTGCGGCAATATAGTCGTTGTGCTAGCACAAAACAAGGTATTGAATACCCCTCGCCATTTTAGGGCCATGATGATACAAATGTGAATCGATCTATACCAGTTTGATACACAACATGAAGTTTATCGATGATCTAGACCAAGAAAAAACGTAACGACATGATGAGAAAAGTTGACGTGTCACCTTGCACTGATTGCACCGCTTGCGGCGCTTGAAGTGATGACACAAACCAAAACTTCTCGATTCTGACAGGCCTTGTTTTTAGCTCTTAAGCTTCATGATTGGTTGCTCTGTCATGAGAGACAGTCTTCTTTAGTTCATAGATATCATCATCATTGCTCTCACAGTGCGACCTGTTGGATCAAGCGACGATGACAGCAGGCGAAGTGGAGGCACTGGCGTCGAGGCTGCAGCTAAAACTATACCGACTCTGCGTCAAGGATAACCTCAATATTACCGAAATATTTTCCGACCTAGGAATGGAATACCTTCGCCGCGGCGGCGAGCTCGGACTTGGAGTAATAAAAAGTCTTGTAATCGACTATGTATAGACTATGATGTTTCCAAGTTGCGTTTCTTGCATAGTGGGTGCAAGCTGCATTTCTTCAATGTTAAGTTTCAGGACTTTGATTGAATCATCTCGGTCTTTCTATTTAGTACCTCTTAATGGGTGTTGCAATTTTGCAGGTAAGTGCCGTGGCTTCGATAACTCCTCAAGCAGTGAAGGCAGGGCCTTCTGGCAGTGCCCCGGCTGAAGAAGAAAAGACGGAAAATCTCGCGTTCCAGCTAACAGGGGACAAGAAGCCAAATGTTCAGAGGACAGGCGGAAAGAAAAAAAGATTCGCTACATGCAGCATTCTTTGAAAACGGTTCATGTAGGGTGGACGTTGACAAGTTGTTGTAGCTGAGAATGAGTATGAGATGGGTATTAGATTGGTAGTAGTACCAAATTGAAATCAGTGTCATAAAAATTTTGCACAGAGGGAGTCACCTTGTTTATTGTTACTTCAATTGACCTCGCTATCGTTTTTATATATCGCTTCTATTTCTTGCCAGCCTTGGCATTCAAGCAGATATGATTTCTTCTGTACCTATTATTGTCCTCCAGCATGCAACAAGACTCGAAGGGCAAAGAAATTTAAGTCAAATGAAAAAAAAAAACTAACAATCACCAATGCCATTCTCGTGGTGTCATAAATCTTACGGCCGCGACTCAACCGTCGATACTAGCTTGGAGATAGCATTTTCTTTCACAACCCCATGGGGAAATCGGACGCTGTCGTTGCTTCTTCCAGACTAACACCGCCTTTCTTGCTTTTGATCGTCTCTTCGAGGCAGAGAAATAATGCTTCTGATCCGTCGTTCTCGGTCAGCGTCTTTCGGTCGTGGCGAAATGAGCACGACTTTCCAGTGAAGCTTCACATCATTCACAGTTATATCAAATTTGCTTGTCGGTCATCGCATCGGAACCAATTATGAGCGCATCACCACCAGAGGTGCGAGAGCGCAAAGAAATGACACGTCGGATTCGCAAATCATGCGAGCGCAGCCAGTCACGACATGTACGTTGTAGGTATAATTTATCGGTTGTAACTATAAATATGTAGAACTAATAATCCAGAAGGCTGATGTTTCTCACCCTCCTCTCGGTACGTCGATCTCGAAACCTATAGATTTCGGGTTGTACCTTCTTCTTCACCCGCTTCAATTCGTTTCAGTTTACCCTTCTTGTCGTTTCATTTCGTAGCTTCGTTCCGGTTTCTTCCATATTAGTAGGGGCTTATCATGTCTGCTTTTATGCCGTCATTCAAGTTAGTAGAGGACGAGCTATTCCAGCTACATTTCAGTTCTTTTGAATTCCGTGTCGTTTTTTGTTTGTGTTTTCTTGGAATATCACTAAGGAGAAGATAAATCCTCCGTGAGAAACTTTACATCAGCATCAAGCATCCCAGTTTCAGCGACTGAGTCCACGAATAACCGCTTGAAGGGGATCAGCACTGGGTTGGATTGCAGCCCCTTCGTGCTAGACGGCGCCGTGCAACTCGAGCGATCTGCAGGTGCATGCGCCTGATTAGCAGCTGAACTGCACGAAGAGAAGAAGCAGCGGTAATCACTGAAGGAGTGTCTGTTTTCTTAGTGGAACTACGGCATTTTCGAGAGCAAGGCTCAGCGAGCTTGAGGGGAGAACTGTGTGAACGAGCACGACCAGAAGATCTTTGCTCCGACGAAGCGCAGAGACCGCGATCCATCAAGCGAAGTCAAGTCCACCTGAGTACTAGAAAACGGGAGGACGATACTGCATAGTGCTTGGGCATCATCACGATGGCTGTGGTCGCTGATGTATCGGACGGCGGGTCTCCGCGTAGCAGTGACAGTCCTGGGTCTCCAGCGAATGCCAAATCGTGCCAGGTGACCTCTTCCTACCGATTTTTGCGTGCGGTGGACGATGAAACTCTGCGTCTGTGCTACTTCGCGACTTCAGTGGAAATTGGGTGGGGCGAGGCTGCGTTCTGCGCAATCCTGGACAAATTTCGTTACGTCCTGGGCGTCCAGTCAGCCACGGACCTTCGTAACATTCTCGGCAATCGAGAACTCACAAATCGCACGCTGAGAAAGGTACCGGTGTAGCAATCGTTGGAGATATTGTTGTAGCTCGGATCTGATAGTAAAAGGAGGTGATGTCCTGGTCAAATGCGTTGCAATTCGTGATTTCTTCTGAACCAAGTGTTAGTGTAGTCAGAGTAGTCAATAACTGTATCTCTCCTTCTCGTTCTCACCCAGGCTGGGCGACGGGGTCTGAAAAACCGAACCTTTGCCATTATGGAGCGGCATTTGGGCAGAAGTATACCAGTTCAAGTGAAAAATAAAGAGCGGAAGAACGCCTTAGAGATTGCTTTAGAGAAAACAGCGGTTTTCACGCCGGTACCTCCAAATCCAGCAGCGCATCCGCCTCTATACTCGCGGCCGGACGTACTCATAGTTTTGATACAGGGGCTTAAGTGAAGTTTTCGTGGTGAGTTCGTCCCACGGACTATGTTTTTACTTTTCATTGATGAGATGTGTCGTTGCCTTAGATGTGACTTTGCTTACCTTCTCCATCGATGGATTTCAGGTTTTGGATAAACCATTGTCCTTCGCCGGGACGCGCTTAGTGAACGAATGCACTAGTGAGCTTGTCAGCGCGCATATGGAGAGTCGGGAAATATATCGGTACCTTGCGAAAGTCACAGTGCCGCCATTACCGAGTCCGAGGGGTACATTCTTGTACTGAATGAAATCTTGAGCAAAATCTAAGAAAGTCCTTTACATTATATTTTGATTCGAAGGAGGTTACTCTTTTTTCAGTTACTTACTTCGACTGGTGTTAGCTCTACCCCTGAAATTTATATGGTTTGCCTGGTTGCTAGATTACCCCTGAATCACAATTGTTGACGACCTGACATCAGATGTGACGATGTACACGAGCGAAATGAGCTACCTTGCAGCCGTGAAGAAAGAGGCTGAGTCGACCGTTGCGAACCAAGAAAAACTGGAGATCGAAAGGCGGAAGCGGATGCGAGAAGAGGCTGAGGAACGCAAAAAGCGGAAGGCAGAGGCCCTTCGTAATCCTAAGAAGAAGCTGTCTCTGGTACTCAGTGCAAACGAGGAGGGCGACGAGGGGGTACGACATGTATACCACATAGAACTTGATGTGCATTTTCCTTATTGTTATTTGTTCCTTCATAGGTGGGCTTGGTTGCTAGAAGCAGAGTTGTACACCATAGAAGATCATGAAGATTATGTTGAAAATCAAAAAATCAGTATCTAAATCTATGCAGTCTTCTATTGTAGTATCCCTCAAATTCTTGACCTCAGATGGGCGAGGATGGTGCTGAGAAAAAAGAAGCAGAGCAGGAGACCGCAGAGGGTGAAGGGCAAGCTGCTGAGGGCGAAGCTCCGCCAGCCGAGGCGCCTGCTGCATAAATCGAATATTTTCCAAGAAATATTTTTCGCGGGTAGATGGACGAAGGACCAAGGGACAGTCTGAGATATACACAGACGCAATTCATCTTGGCTGCATAGCAAATTATAAAGTTTGTCCTGTGTAGTCGTGAATAGTGATTGCCTTAAATTGTGATCATTCTCTGACTGGGTTGTATTTCATCATTCTATAAATATGGTTTTGGATAACAAATACAGTAGATCGCGGAGGGTGACTACGTCTACGAATTTCCCTCGAAGTGATTGAATTACATGTAAGAATATCTTATCGTTTGCATGCCAATGTACACATAGAGCTGACTGCAGAACTGCTAATTGGGTTTTGGAAATGATGGGACGGAACATAAGAATAGTTGTTGAAGAAGGTGGGACGAGGAGCAAAGACCAGGCAGCCAGTGAGCCCTTGTTTCGATGTCGATGCCAGACACTGAATTATGACTATCAGAGGAGATGATACTAGCATCTTGGAATTCATCGTATGACATGTAGTTAAACGTTCGTTCTCCTCGTCACGAAGCTCGCTGAGGATCGTCTCCAAGGTCTCCTGCTTTATTAGGAGAAGCTCGCTGAGGATCGTCCAGCACGGCGTTGGTTCAAAAGTCTTGTTTGATCACTCTATCGAGCTGCTCTCGATGTCTCAAAGTCGAACTAAGTACCCCGGAATCTAGAGCTGAGTCTCCCGGTTTCGTGTACACCGTGCACCCGCAGATATTAGGCTTTATCTCGGTTCGATTTTGTTTGCAAAGTTCTATTCGCGATGACGATCGCAAATACCTCAGATCCACATTGATTGAGAACTGTCATGGACATTCAGCTTTGAATATCCCTCCTCTCGTCAATCCATAGGACTCAAGCGCCGGCAAATACTACACAGAGTAGTACCTGCACATACAAGGAACCGGTCTTCTCGTGACATATTACATCGCAGAGACAAAAACTCAAGAACCGTTCTTGACAGAAAGAGAAGCAGGTCGTTCGGACGACACCACTTGACGAACAACAAAAGGAAGGAAATTTGGTCGTGCGCTCGACGCTTACAAAATCGGCAGGATGGCGTACACCAGACGGCGATCCGACATGATGGGTCCGGAAATACAGCAAATGGTGTACCCGTTTTCCGTCCAAAAATTTGGGGAGAACACTGTAATGAAGCGGACTGCAGCCATAAAGAACCATCTACGAACTCAGGTACTTTTCCTACAAGTCCTCGCAGTAAGGCGGACGACGATGATAATGATGTTTCTCTGTTTGGTTGAAAGTTGCGCTTCGTTCCGCTTCTGACTAACTTCTCACATTCGTAATCTGTTGCCGCTAAGTTAAAATCGTCACTGTGCTAGTCCGGAACTTGTAGTTGATATCATGAATCTGTGGGATCCATAACTTATACCGTAACATTGTGACGTTGAAGTACAACTTTTTGTCGTTGTCTTCTTCAACAGGCACGCGATTCAGATCGAGTTTCCACATACGAGCACGATTATTCGCGACGTGTCGAAGCAGGTGTTGGATGGGATTCAGCGCGGTCAGTCTCATCCCGGACCGAAGCTGAAAAAGCTGAGGTATGGTTTGAATGAGATAGAGAAGATGGAAGTAGAAAGCACCACCGCTGGTATGTCTAGTTTCAGGCTTACTCATCTATCAAAACCAGTGGTCCAGTCATCATTTTTCACAGTATCACTATTCTCTGCCGCTGTCTTATCATGTTTAATTTACCTCCTACTCAGAGCAAGCTGCCTTCGGATCAAGTGTTGAGTTCTAGAAAGAGTAACCCGGAACTTCGAAATTCAGTTTCAAGAAAGAAGCGCGAGGATTATGAAGAAGGGAAAAAGCACTACCTCCAAAGCGGTGGGACTCGGACCCTAGGTGTGCTACAGAGGCTTCAGGAGGAAGGTACTAGCTGCTTGTAACTATGCACGAGTTGTAGTTGTACTTAGAATAAATCTATTGTTGATTTTGACTCTCAGACCAAGAACTCTTGATTTTGAATCTCAGATCAACTCGGATGAATATTCTACTTTCGTCCCGTCGTCATGACTTTCTCATAGATACAGACGATGATGTTCGTCGCAGAAGAAGTACCTGTGTAATAAGTGGTAGAAGGATCTGTTACGATTAAGTCGCAAAACCAAATATCTCTCCGCTCATTCAGGTCGAGGTCTGAATGTAAATCCAAGCGGATGGGCTGGTACACATTTTACGCCGGCGAAGTTTCCTAGTGAATTTCGGGGTGGCACTGACCGGCAGATTAAGCTGGTCCAGAGCATCCACAACCTGAATTTGCGAGCCCCAGACCTATACCATAGAATTTCATGATAAGTGAGTAGTTGTTCGCTGCATTCCGTTGTGATTGACTAGGTACAACTTTTGTCTGGTGTAGTATTTACTGTGCGCAGTACTGCTTTACTCTTGTTCTTCTGAAGCTAAGTTAGAGCTAAAGGTAAAATCATATTCACAGTCACCATGACATGGTAATTTAGAGCTTCATGTCAAATTCTTCTGACTCACATACACATGCTTTTGATCGAGTTTTATTCCCAGTAGACCCTCCTCTGTCCATAACATGCTGCGCATCTGTCACTCATTACATCACATACATACATCCCTTCTGTAAAAATGCCATGGCGGCAACGCTTGCACGTAGGTCTAGTGTGAACCACAACTCAGCATACTTAAGCTTAACATACGAGCATGCTCTTTTGCTTTGCACAGAACTTCCCCGTCGACGCCATACACGCCATGTTGCAAGAACTAGTGACTCGTGGACACTGTCTGATCCGATGATATCCGATGTTATCTAGATTCGAATTCTTCATGATTCACGAAAGCTTAAGCTACGAGTAGTTTTAAGAAAGATGCTCGTCGTCAAAAATCAATTTTTCTCTGATGCCCCCTCGTCTCAAAACAGATCCGCCCGGAATTGCCTCCACCTTCATTCTTGCCACTAAGTTCCTTGATGCTACAAAGAACGGTGTTTGTCGACAACAATAGCCCTCCCATAATTGATTCCCAACCACATGTGCTTGACCACACAAGGCTGATCCAGGAAACTGCGTGGACTCCTCCGAGTACATCGCTTTTGTATTCCCTACGTGGACATGTATGTTCCTTCGCCAGCGCAGCTGCCGTTCTTAGGAAGCAATGGCGTATACGAATTTGGTGTTGCGAAGAAGGACCGAGTACGAGAAGAAGCGTTGAGAACTACATCAAGTCGTGTTGAAACAAGACGTCATAGTGATTGTTTAAGAAGGGTCCTGTGACGGAGAGCACGAGGGACGACATGTGAAGCAGGATCGCTTTCACGCCTGTGTATGATACAATGTAAATACTCAGGTCATTCTCATTTTTTTATGAATTGGTTTTGGTTCATTGCTGTCAGTCATTGAGATTCATTCCTTTTCAATGAGGGATAGTTGGACGATCTCCCTCAACCCCGACGTCATTCTTCCTGGATTTTGGTATTGGATCAATACCCTGCAGGATATATCAAAAAAATGGCGACAGCTGAAGAAGAGGCAAGGGCTAGTCCGCAGTACATTGATCTGGCGAAAAGGCCAGACCTTATCGACAGTTGGCAACTCAGATACTTTCCCGCCGGAAAGGGATGTAGGCACAAGGCTGAAAATTAAGGGTCCTCGTTGCTTATTCCACTTACTATATTATCATGGCTAGTCGTAGTCCTGGTGTGGTCGAAGCTCCTTCTATGTCGTTGGATAGAAAGAAGATGACGAGTAAATACTCACAACGAATTGCAGAGTTGTAGAAGTATTTCCTCAATATTCACAGTGAGTTTTGTTTCTGTGTGGACGAATTGACATAAGACTTATTATTTCGAGAGCGATGAACTGACATGTGAATCTCAAATTGAATGATCAGAAGTCAGGAGCACGAGGATACAAACTGCGCAGCAATAGGCTTGATCATGCACGAGTACCCTCAACAAAATGCCGGAAGTGATGAAGAAAGATACAACTACTTATGTACTATAAAAAAACTGGTCGTCGATGTTTCTAAGGTCTGACTCGGGACATCCAGAACGGATCAGGGAACAAGCGCTTGTTCGAAAACGAGTTGATGCATGGGGATCACCATCAGGACTCTTTCTACCAAGGCGAGAAGAAAGCCTCCAAAATCTTCATGGTGACTGGGACCTATGGGCTGTGTCACCGATCTCATGCTCGTGACGCTGGCGGCATCCGTGTTAAGAGCGTGTACTTGTGCATCATTTTTACATCATGGACTAACACTAACAACACCATGCATTGGCGGGTTGCATCTAACACTAACACCCTCAATGGACTCTACAACTGTTCCAGTAGGAAGGATGTCAAGGATGCCTTAAAGATCAACGCAACGGTCGTGAAGCTTCTAATCGTGGCTTTGTGGGGTTTGGCCGCAGAGCCCATTTCATCGAAACACGCAATGTCGACCAGTGGTCGCGACGGCCGGAGGGGTGCTCCTTAGAACTAAATCAATGGAGTGAAGAAACAAATTCAAATTGCAAAACTCTTCGTTCTTCAGTTTTTTTTTTGACTTCATCAAAAGCCCACTTCCTTAAACTAGAAGAGGGAACGAAAGGTTCTGCGTTTGGATCGTCAAGACGTACTCAATGTACAGGTATGACAAAAATGTCAATGGATACGTGATGAGGTGGCGTTTCCTGATTTGTGGTTCCGACGTTGACGTCGACGACGCACTGCGATTTACCTGTTCCCTTCTATACTCCCGGAGTGGTGTCGGGACTGTTACGGGTAGTTGTATTTGATGAAGATTATCTCGCCTTTTTTTATTGTGGCGCATGTAGCTGAAAAATGGAGTCAGCCTTTTTCAATGTGGTTTTACGGAAGCGCTCAAGGGCATCCACTCAGCCACCACGGAGAGTAATCTACTGCTACCTTTAATACTGGGGGTAGCGATCGTTATGTAGATACCTGGAGCGGAGGCTCCGGGGCGCAGAAAGGAAACCGAGTGGAGCCTCCTTTGGTGAGGCCATCAAATTTACGCTGTTGATCCCGTTGCGTAGGTTAATTACTAGAAAGATGTTTCTGATATTGATTCAGTTCGTTGCTGCTTGTGCGACTGCGTGGGACTCTGCTTGCATGGATTTAGGTTTTAACCCCTCTCTCACCCCACTACCTGAGTTTGAATCCAAATTTTAATCTTTAGGTATCTATTGATGCCAGACTCCTGTGCATCGAACTTGGTTTCCATGACGATATGGACAACAGAAACCGAGATTGTGAAATAACTACGGGGCACCAAGCGGTGAAAATTAGAATAACCCGTTTCTAAGCGATGCGTTCGCATATGGCAACGGTGGAGTCGCATCTGCATCTGGTGGAGGTGGCTCTTCCTATAGCGGTTTAGGATTAGGCAGGGAGATCGCAGGTGTAGGAACTGCTTCTTCTTACAGCGGCTTGGGCTTAGGCAAGGAGGCAGCCGGTGTGGGCACTTCCTCTTCTTCCTATAGCGGCTTGGGTCTCGGTGCGGAAGCTGCACCTGCTGCTTCTACTTCTACTTCATATAGCGGCCTCGGATTGGGCAAGGAGAGGATAGGTGGTAGCGGTTTTGGACAGGGTACTGCGCCTGCGGGTCCGTCTTCAGCGCACAATGCTGCCTCTTCATCTCTGGGAGGAGGACGGCCTACTTCATACCAATATAGCAACCCCTTCTTTGCTGGAGCAGATACTACAACGTACTCGGCAGATCTCGGGCGTTTGAGCAAGGTCCGCAATCACCCTCGATACATCAAGCTAGCAGTTAAGGCTCAGCTGGCCTGCTTACACTTTTGCATTTGTAGTACTTACTGAGTCTCACATTAGACATTTTTGTTCCAACCTTTATAATGTTTTATCAACGTACTGAAATTTTCAGGAGTAGCTCACTTCTTTAGGAGATGAACATGTGTTCAACGTTTCTAGGAGCAAATTGGGCTGCTGAAAACTCGTTACTTGCGAGTTCTTTATATTCATTGTGACTTTATTTTCCATGTAGAGCCCGTCTACGCGCGAAAGCATCGTTCTTACGTAAGTGCTCAAATCAGTGAATTGTTCTTCGCACTGCAGCGCTAAAAAATACCAGCCGCACCTAATCGATGCGTGGTTAGGAGACTACAAGTATGGTGGTGACAAGTTCGGCAACCGCTTTTCAGTAAACGAGTGGCAACCCGTGACTGGAACCAAAAATCGGACTATAGCCGAAGACCTTTCCTTCTTTATACCTGACAAAATTAACTACTTTTACCAGACGTGCAAAGGGAAGACCAATCAGATAGCAGTCAGTTGCTTCGAGGATCTACCTGCGAAAAACTATGGTTTTATGCCTATGAAGAACGCCGCGGACATGATTCTAGGGCTAAAGAACATCGGAAACCGCTTACATATCATCGAAACCACAGGGGCTCCACCGGCCGCAGCAAGGTAAAACGCCTTTCAGGAAAAACATAAAGAAATTTAAAGGGGTCTATTTATATTTACAAGAATTTGAATGCAGTTTACTAGATACATACTTAGTTTTTTTTGGAATGTATAATTGGTTGGCATACAACGTGGTTCGAGAGCAGTTGTTTCCAAAAAAATAATCAGGCGTGGGGAGCCCACTGGGTTTAGATATCGATATCCGTGGATGGTAGTATTCTACGCATCTGGCGTCGAACCCGATGATGCTTTGCGTTTCGCAGCGTCCTTGAATATGCCCTACACTTAAGGCTAACACGGCTTCTGATTCATCTTGTCATCCGGGAGCCCTCGAGGAAGTACGTAGCAAACAGCAGTAATAAGGAAAAGTAATATATAAGTAGAAGGCTTCTAGGAGAGATAATTCAAATTTCCCTCGATAGTTCGGAGATTGTTCGTAGTCTCTATAATTCGCAAAATAATTCAAATAGCCGAGTGCATTCTCCTGAAATATCGCCCCTTAAGATGTAATACTGTACTCCAGCCATCTCTAACGTACTGGCCCCAGCGTGGATAGAACGTACGTAGATATCTGGCAAAAAGGGTCGGGCTTGCGGCAAGGGAATACGCGTGGCATACAGCAGTTCTTAAGATGTAGACTTCATCCGTTGTTACAACATGAACATGATATTCAACACCAGGATTAGACACTTATTTTCAGGAAAAGCAGGTTTCCAAGTAGCAGTACAAGAAATAGTTTTTGGAGAATCTTCTACTTGAACATTTCTATCGTGATGTATAGTGTATGCACGCAGGTGATTTATTTGCTCAACAGAGGAAGTAAACGAGCATGACGTTAGCATTTTATGAAAAGTTCTAAAGTAAAACTCAGCGGGAGCTCCGGCCTCGGCGGGATCGGGCCCTGCAACAAACAAGTCAGCTGTTCCTACTACTACGAGCAATACTGTTCCTCCGCTGTCTAGCCGTGGGGGCGGTGGTGCTGGCGCGGCTTCCTCCTCTTCATCCATGTCAGCGTCTCAGCTTGCAGACGCGTACAAGCGCCTGCCTGAGGGCAACGGCGCTGAAAATGCTTCGAAAAGACAAAAATATTAGATTAGAGATGTTTATTAAATGTCTACAGGTGCATCCTGGTTACAGTAAAAGTTGACGATCGAATATCTAGAACACTGTGTAAGCACTATTATTGTTGTACAAAGTTTATGAGTAA